GATTGTGGTTGTTGTATTTCTCCAAGTTTCAGCTCCGTACATACAGTAGAACTGTCTTGACGTTCATATTGAAGATTCTCACTTTGATATTGGTTGAAAGTTGTTTTGAGTTCCATATGTTCTTCAATTTTAGGAATGCGACCCTTGCTTTGCCGATCCTCGCCTTTACGTCTGCATCGGATCCTCCTTGTTCATCGATGATGCTTCCCAGGTATGTGAAGGACTCTACATCTTCCAGAGTTTCGCCATCAAGTGTGATTGGATTGCTGTTCTCCGCTTTGAATTTGAGGACCTTAGTTTTCCCTTTGTGTATGCTGAGGCCTACTGATGCAGAGACTGCTGCTACACTGGCTGTCTTCATCTGCATCTGTTCGTGTGTACGTGATAGGAGGGCTAGGTCATCTGCGAAGTCCAAATCGTCTAATTGGTTCTGAGCTGTCCATTGTATTCCGTGTTTTCCTTCAGATGTTGAGGTCTTCATAATCCAGTCGACCACCAGAAGAAAGAGGAAGGGAGAGAGTAAACAGCCTTGTCTGACTCCAGTCCTTACTTGGAATGCATCTGTCAGCTGTCCTCCATGCACGACTTTGCATTGTAGTCCGTCGTATGAGTTCCGGATAATATTGACAATCTTCTCAGGAACTCCGTAGTGTCGAAGAAGTTTCCATAATGTCCTCCTATCTACACTGTCGAATGCCTTTTCATAATCAATGAAGTTGATGTATAGTGATGAGTTCCACTCAACTGATTGTTCGACGATAATCCGTAGTGTTGCAATTTGGTCTGTGCACGACCGATCTTTACGGAATCCAGCTTGTTGATCTCGAAGTTGGGCGTCTACTGCATCCTTCATCCGGTTCAGCAACAATCTGTTGAAGACTTTCCCTGGTATTGACAGTAGTGTAATGCCTCTGTAGTTTTCACATTTGCTCAGATCTCCTTTCTTTGGAATCTTGACGAAGTGTCCTTCTTTCCAGTCCATCGGCACTTGTTCCTCCTCCCAAATCTTTTTGAATAGAAGATAAAGCATGCTTGTGGTTGCTTCGATGTCTGATTTCAGTGCTTCAGCTGGTATGTTGTCGGGTCCTGCTGCTTTCCCGTTCTTGATTTGTCTGATGGCCATTCTAATTTCTTCCGTAGTTGGTGGATTGACATCTATAGGAAGATCTATGTGTGCTGCTTCGATGTCCGGTGGATTCATTGGGGCCGGCCTATTCAGGACTTCCTCGAAGTATTCTACCCATCTGTTACGCTGTTGTTGAATTTCGGTGATTTTCCTGCCTTCTTTGTCTTTGACCGGCCTCTCTGGTTTACTGTATTTCCCTGCTAGTTTCTTCGTTGTATCGTGAAGCTGTTTCATATTTCCTTCTCTAGCAGCTTTTTCTGCCGTCGTTGCTAGTTCTTCAACGTATTTCTTTTTGTCGGCTCTAATGCTCCTCTTCACTTGTTTGTTTGCTTCTTTGTATTCAGCTTGTGCTTGGACTTTCTCTGCTCGTGTTCGGCTGTTGTTTATTGCTGCCTTCTTGTTCTTCCTTTCTTTGATCTTGTCCAGTGTTTCTGTAGAGATCCATTCCTTATGATGGTATTTCTTTAGACCGAGAACCTCTTGACACGTTGAAGTTAATGCTTCCTTGATGCCTTTCCAGTTGTCCTCCATAGTAGTTTCTTCTTTTTTCAGTAGATCTTGTAAGGCTTGGAACCTGTTGTTGAGAGCTATCTTGAATTCATTGAGTTTGTCAGTATCTCGAAGGAAGGCTGTATTGAACCTTTGTATTGCTGTTTGTCCACTTGTCCAGTTCTTTTTTAGCCTCAGTTTTAAATTGGCTACAACTAGGTGGTGATCTGAAGCTACGTCAGCACCTCTCCTGGTTCTCACATCTTCCATTGTCCTTCGGAATTTTTTGTTGATGCAAATATGATCTATTTGGTTCTCTGTAGTGTGGTCCGGTGAGATCCATGTAGCCTTGTGTATACGCTTGTGTGGAAATATTGTGCCTCCTATGACCAATTTGTTGAATGCACATAGATTTGCAAATCTTTCTCCATTTTCGTTTCTCTCTCCCAGTCCATGTCGTCCCATAATATCTTCATATCCAGTGTTGTCTATTCCGACTTTGTCATTTAGATCTCCCATCAGAATAGTTAGGTCCTTTCTTGGGCATTTCTCAATGATTGACTGCAGCCGCTCGTAGAACTGATCTTTAATTTCGTCGTTGCTATCATTAGTGGGTGCATAACATTGGATAATACTCATTAAGATCCCCTCCTTCTTTGTTTTGAATGATGCTTTGATGATTCTGGATCCGTGAGATTCCCATCCTACAAGTGCATTTCGTGCTACTTGTGACAGCATAAGAGCGACTCCCTGAGTGTGTGGAGCATTGTCCTCTTCGTGACCGGAGTATAGCAGCAACTCTCCCGTAGCTAGCCTTTTCTGTCCAGCTTGGGTCCAGTGGGTTTCGCTGATTCCAGTACTGCTAAGTTGTATCTCCTCATTTCCATTGATATTTGACTGGTCTTCCCGGTTTCCCACATTGTTCGAACGTTCCATGTACCTATGAAAATTTTTGCTCTGGTTGTTAGAAGGGGCATCGGCCTCGTGGCTTCCGAAGGAACTCGGCTTTCACCATGAAGCGTCATAGTTCTTCTAAATGAAGACCTTCTAACTCCCAGGGCAGAGTTAAAATGGTTTGGATTATTTTTTCTGGTAAGCGTTTTTTTAGCGAGTTAGTTTTCTACGGGATGGGGACGCTAACCCCATGCCCAACCCTCCTCCTTTACCCGGGCTTGGGACCGGCAGCAACCCTATAAGAGCCGATTATATAATCTTTTTATTTTAACTTCTGTTTGAAAAAAGATCCCACTAATATTCACTAACAATATTAACTTGAATTCTATATCAACTAGGTAATTGGGTTATATTATAAACCATTTGTCGAAAAGAATTATTTATTTTTAATTCATCGCTCAATTATTATTTATTATATTATTTTCTTCTTTATATGACTTTGCTATCAACATATAAATACTAGTCATTCTTAACCATAATGTTAAATATTTTATGTTCTCATCCCGTTTATGACATTTTCCCAACTTTATTTTGTTGATTAAGGGATACCAGCCTATTTTTTTATAGTAAAATAAATAATTGTAAATTTAGATCGTTTGCAGCTGATGAGAAGACTTGAAATATAATAAATTCAGGTTAATCTACTAACCTTGTTTATTTAAATTTATCAAGGGATTAAAATGTGTGAAATTGAAACAAACTAAATTAGGAATTTATTGAGGTAATCAGTTAAGAATAAATGATAATTGAAATGCAACATGATTTAGTTGAACTACAATCTTTACTACCTCATTTTGAATACTAATGAATATTACAGAAATACACTATTTAATTAAACGCTTAACACAACTCTTTACGTAGCACCTTGAATGGTATTATTCGAATACGAAAATAAATAAAAGTTCTACATTTTGAAAAGCATATTAAATAACGTAACTAGTTATTCTACCAGAGCAATATAACCATATTATTAATTTAATTATCACAAATATATTTAACACCTATTAATTAATTTTAGGATAAACTAAATTGCCTTTCATTTATTAGAAACATGTGGTGGTTTATTCATTTAAATGCAAAAACAAATCACGGTATTTACTTTAGTTTTTTTAATTAAAAGGTGTGTTGTTAAGATATTTAAATAATTGAGAACAAATAGATCCAAATTACGGATCAATCAGCTGTTATTAAATTAACATATCGGATAGTTACAAAAACTGGTGTATTAGAATAAACCAACACACTTTTTTACTGAATAATTTAGTCGGATGAAGGTATTACACTAAGTAGCAAAAAGTTCAATTTGTATAGAGAAGTGCAGACTTTCAGAGTTTTTGTCTACCGTGTTTTACCCTGGAAAGGTCTAATACAAAAGAGTTAGCATAAAAAGCGCACATAGATAAAGGTGAGTATTCAAAGTGAATAAACGAAAAATAGCCACCATTTCGTTTTAAAATGATTTAATTAGGTATTCAGTACAGCTGCAAGTGACAAAAAACATACGAAAATATCTAAATAAATTACGATTATTATCAGAAGGGGTTTTGTGGGGATTTCAGTAATCGCAATAGTTGAAATCATGAGTCAATTGAAGCTAGACCACCATAGAAAACCTAGGAAGCACTGGACGGCCGTTTCGTCCTATTGTGTTCTATTAAATTTTACGAATACTCACTAAAGCATTTCAAAATTGTAAACTAATCTAACAATAGATAGACATATTAGACCCTTCCCATTTAACTAGTTAATTGGAATAGAATACTATTTTAAAAAAAAGTATTACATTGTTATACTGACCATAAAACGAAAGACTTATCCATAATACTCTACTTACAAATGTTTATATTTTATTGAATAAGACTAATGTTACATTGAAGTTAAGAATTCTAATGATTTGTTCTACACTCAACAAAAATCACTTGATCATACGAAGACGATAAATACATGTACTTATCAAACAAAATAATAGAATAATGAACTAAGTATGTTTATTCTTGAAAATTAAAGAAAATATATGACAAAAAATATACAGAACAAAAAAGTAAACTTTTAACAATCTTTATGACAGTCTGTAAATAAAATGAATAGTAAACCTGGCTAGAAGTTTATGTAATGAAGCCACTGGTTAGTTCGTACCCTGTAAAAACCAGTCGAAGTCTCATCAAGTTTTATTCGAATTTATTCGTCGTATAATATGATCTAGAAAAATTTTCCTTTTTGATGAAAATATCACAAACTTGGAATAAAAATACATCTTTGGTAAACATAACTGTTCTAATTTGTCGTTTAAATGCTTATTGTCTTGTCTCTTTTAATGCTACATTTTTGTATCTGGTCGTCGCTGATTGTTATTTAGGAAACGCTTATCACTTATACTCGGAACGAGAGACCTCTGCAATTCCCACGACGCGAAAGTAAGAACACAAGACTAGTATAAGTGATGATTTACTAACCCCAAAACACTGACGACGACGACGACCATTCTAGTAGAAAATACACTCATTTATATATTGATTGCACGCTCATTTTGATTATTAATTAGAATGAAATCACATATATGAAAAATACTTAGAGTTATAACAAATCACATACTGAGTATAGTTCATGTCAATGGAATACAAGAATATCGCATATTATACAGTATAAAATATCATACGAGAAAAGAAAATAAATACTACATTGAGTAATCACTAGACTGAATCGAAAAGGAAGTAATTTTGAACAAAAATCATAATGAGTAAATCAATCGAAAATTGACTTTTCTTTCCATCATATCAATAACAAAGGGTAGGTATTATTCAACATAAATTAAACAAATTAGTTATCACAGTGAAAAGACCAATAGGTAAAACAAAAATAATACAAGGGTGTACTTTGGTGAACAGAAAAAACAAACAATAAAACACAAGCAAGAAAAAAACAACAACCGAACACTATTTTCCTTTAATCAATGAATTGTTCAACAGCAGCTATAATACATTGTTGGATGATGCTGAATCCTTGATAACTTCTGTGGTTTGAGTCAAATGATTTTGAATATTCGACGTAGAACTCACCTGGTGTAACTTCATATGAATGAATAGAACACAAGTACCATGACTCATAACATTTGCAACGGTACGTAATCGATCACTAAAACAAAAAAATATGAAGAAAATATTGTTCACAAGTGACAGGAAGCAATTTAATGAACAATTCAACAAATGTATCAAAATTACTGCAAAAGGTTTATAGAACCAAGAAAAATATCTAAATTAGTTCGACAGACAATTATCAGCAGTCAACAGAAGTTGATTAAAAGCACGAAGTTCAGCAAAGGGATCTCTTTTCAACGAATTTAACATTGAACTGTACAATAGAATATTGGGAGTTTAGGGAGTAGCGAATGCAGAATTAGAGTAAATTTGAATGTTACTTACTTACGCCTGTTACTCCTCGTGAAGGAGCATAGGCCGCTCACCAGCATTCTCCATCCAACCCTGTCCTGGGCAATCCTTTCTAGCTCCGTCCAGTTGTAATTCATCCTTTTCATATCTGCTTCTATTATCCGACGCAATGTGTTCTTTGGCCTTCCTCTTTTTCGCTTCCCTTCAGGATTCCAAGTTAGGGCTTGCCTCGTGATGCAGTTTGACGATTTGCGTAATGTATGTCCTATCCATTTCCATCGTCTTTTCCTAATTTCTTCAGCTGGAAGTTGGTTTGTTCTCTCCCAGAGAAGGCTGTTGCTGATGGTATCCGGCCAAAAGATATTGAGTATTTTGCGTAGACAGCTATTTTTAAATACTTGTACTTTCCTGATTGTGGTTGTTGTATTTCTCCAAGTTTCAGCTCCGTACATACAGTAGAACTGTCTTGACGTTCATATTGAAGATTCTCACTTTGATATTGGTTGAAAGTTGTTTTGAGTTCCATATGTTCTTCAATTTTAGGAATGCGACCCTTGCTTTGCCGATCCTCGCCTTTACGTCTGCATCGGATCCTCCTTGTTCATCGATGATGCTTCCCAGGTATGTGAAGGACTCTACATCTTCCAGAGTTTCGCCATCAAGTGTGATTGGATTGCTGTTCTCCGCTTTGAATTTGAGGACCTTAGTTTTCCCTTTGTGTATGCTGAGGCCTACTGATGCAGAGACTGCTGCTACACTGGCTGTCTTCATCTGCATCTGTTCGTGTGTACGTGATAGGAGGGCTAGGTCATCTGCGAAGTCCAAATCGTCTAATTGGTTCTGAGCTGTCCATTGTATTCCGTGTTTTCCTTCAGATGTTGAGGTCTTCATAATCCAGTCGACCACCAGAAGAAAGAGGAAGGGAGAGAGTAAACAGCCTTGTCTGACTCCAGTCCTTACTTGGAATGCATCTGTCAGCTGTCCTCCATGCACGACTTTGCATTGTAGTCCGTCGTATGAGTTCCGGATAATATTGACAATCTTCTCAGGAACTCCGTAGTGTCGAAGAAGTTTCCATAATGTCCTCCTATCTACACTGTCGAATGCCTTTTCATAATCAATGAAGTTGATGTATAGTGATGAGTTCCACTCAACTGATTGTTCGACGATAATCCGTAGTGTTGCAATTTGGTCTGTGCACGACCGATCTTTACGGAATCCAGCTTGTTGATCTCGAAGTTGGGCGTCTACTGCATCCTTCATCCGGTTCAGCAACAATCTGTTGAAGACTTTCCCTGGTATTGACAGTAGTGTAATGCCTCTGTAGTTTTCACATTTGCTCAGATCTCCTTTCTTTGGAATCTTGACGAAGTGTCCTTCTTTCCAGTCCATCGGCACTTGTTCCTCCTCCCAAATCTTTTTGAATAGAAGATAAAGCATGCTTGTGGTTGCTTCGATGTCTGATTTCAGTGCTTCAGCTGGTATGTTGTCGGGTCCTGCTGCTTTCCCGTTCTTGATTTGTCTGATGGCCATTCTAATTTCTTCCGTAGTTGGTGGATTGACATCTATAGGAAGATCTATGTGTGCTGCTTCGATGTCCGGTGGATTCATTGGGGCCGGCCTATTCAGGAGTTCCTCGAAGTATTCTACCCATCTGTTACGCTGTTGTTGAATTTCGGTGATTTTCCTGCCTTCTTTGTCTTTGACCGGCCTCTCTGGTTTACTGTATTTCCCTGATAGTTTCTTCGTTGTATCGTAAAGCTGTTTCATATTTCCTTCTCTAGCAGCTTTTTCTGCCGTCGTTGCTAGTTCTTCAACGTATTTCTTTTTGTCGGCTCTAATGCTCCTCTTCACTTGTTTGTTTGCTTCTTTGTATTCAGCTTGTGCTTGGACTTTCTCTGCTCGTGTTCGGCTGTTGTTTATTGCTGCCTTCTTGTTCTTCCTTTCTTTGATCTTGTCCAGTGTTTCTGTAGAGATCCATTCCTTATGATGGTATTTCTTTAGACCGAGAACCTCTTGACACGTTGAAGTTAATGCTTCCTTGATGCCTTTCCAGTTGTCCTCCATAGTAGTTTCTTCTTTTTTCAGTAGATCTTGTAAGGCTTGGAACCTGTTGTTGAGAGCTATCTTGAATTCATTGAGTTTGTCAGTATCTCGAAGGAAGGCTGTATTGAACCTTTGTATTGCTGTTTGTCCACTTGTCCAGTTCTTTTTTAGCCTCAGTTTTAAATTGGCTACAACTAGGTGGTGATCTGAAGCTACGTCAGCACCTCTCCTGGTTCTCACATCTTCCATTGTCCTTCGGAATTTTTTGTTGATGCAAATATGATCTATTTGGTTCTCTGTAGTGTGGTCCGGTGAGATCCATGTAGCCTTGTGTATACGCTTGTGTGGAAATATTGTGCCTCCTATGACCAATTTGTTGAATGCACATAGATTTGCAAATCTTTCTCCATTTTCGTTTCTCTCTCCCAGTCCATGTCGTCCCATAATATCTTCATATCCAGTGTTGTCTATTCCGACTTTGTCATTTAGATCTCCCATCAGAATAGTTAGGTCCTTTCTTGGGCATTTCTCAATGATTGACTGCAGCCGCTCGTAGAACTGATCTTTAATTTCGTCGTTGCTATCATTAGTGGGTGCATAACATTGGATAATACTCATTAAGATCCCCTCCTTCTTTGTTTTGAATGATGCTTTGATGATTCTGGATCCGTGAGATTCCCATCCTACAAGTGCATTTCGTGCTACTTGTGACAGCATAAGAGCGACTCCCTGAGTGTGTGGAGCATTGTCCTCTTCGTGACCGGAGTATAGCAGCAACTCTCCCGTAGCTAGCCTTTTCTGTCCAGCTTGAGTCCAGTGGGTTTCGCTGATTCCCAGTACTGCTAAGTTGTATCTCCTCATTTCCATTGATATTTGACTGGTCTTCCCGGTTTCCCACATTGTTCGAACGTTCCATGTACCTATGAAAATTTTTGCTCTGGTTGTTAGAAGGGGCATCGGCCTCGTGGCTTCCGAAGGAACTCGGCTTTCACCATGAAGCGTCATAGTTCTTCTAAATGAAGACCTTCTAACTCCCAGGGCAGAGTTAAAATGGTTTGGATTATTTTTTCTGGTAAGCGTTTTTTTAGCGAGTTAGTTTTCTACGGGATGGGGACGCTAACCCCATGCCCAACCCTCCTCCTTTACCCGGGCTTGGGACCGGCAGCAACCCTATAAGAGCCGATTATATAATCTTTTTATTTTAACTTCTGTTTGAAAAAAGATCCCACTAATATTCACTAACAATATTAACTTGAATTCTATATCAACTAGGTAATTGGGTTATATTATAAACCATTTGTCGAAAAGAATTATTTATTTTTAATTCATCGCTCAATTATTATTTATTATATTATTTTCTTCTTTATATGACTTTGCTATCAACATATAAATACTAGTCATTCTTAACCATAATGTTAAATATTTTATGTTCTCATCCCGTTTATGACATTTTCCCAACTTTATTTTGTTGATTAAGGGATACCAGCCTATTTTTTTATAGTAAAATAAATAATTGTAAATTTAGATCGTTTGCAGCTGATGAGAAGACTTGAAATATAATAAATTCAGGTTAATCTACTAACCTTGTTTATTTAAATTTATCAAGGGATTAAAATGTGTGAAATTGAAACAAACTAAATTAGGAATTTATTGAGGTAATCAGTTAAGAATAAATGATAATTGAAATGCAACATGATTTAGTTGAACTACAATCTTTACTACCTCATTTTGAATACTAATGAATATTACAGAAATACACTATTTAATTAAACGCTTAACACAACTCTTTACGTAGCACCTTGAATGGTATTATTCGAATACGAAAATAAATAAAAGTTCTACATTTTGAAAAGCATATTAAATAACGTAACTAGTTATTCTACCAGAGCAATATAACCATATTATTAATTTAATTATCACAAATATATTTAACACCTATTAATTAATTTTAGGATAAACTAAATTGCCTTTCATTTATTAGAAACATGTGGTGGTTTATTCATTTAAATGCAAAAACAAATCACGGTATTTACTTTAGTTTTTTTAATTAAAAGGTGTGTTGTTAAGATATTTAAATAATTGAGAACAAATAGATCCAAATTACGGATCAATCAGCTGTTATTAAATTAACATATCGGATAGTTACAAAAACTGGTGTATTAGAATAAACCAACACACTTTTTTACTGAATAATTTAGTCGGATGAAGGTATTACACTAAGTAGCAAAAAGTTCAATTTGTATAGAGAAGTGCAGACTTTCAGAGTTTTTGTCTACCGTGTTTTACCCTGGAAAGGTCTAATACAAAAGAGTTAGCATAAAAAGCGCACATAGATAAAGGTGAGTATTCAAAGTGAATAAACGAAAAATAGCCACCATTTCGTTTTAAAATGATTTAATTAGGTATTCAGTACAGCTGCAAGTGACAAAAAACATACGAAAATATCTAAATAAATTACGATTATTATCAGAAGGGGTTTTGTGGGGATTTCAGTAATCGCAATAGTTGAAATCATGAGTCAATTGAAGCTAGACCACCATAGAAAACCTAGGAAGCACTGGACGGCCGTTTCGTCCTAGCATGGGACTCCTCAGCAGTGTGTATCCACGACCCCACTCCTCGCGAGATTCGAACCCAGGACCTATCAGTATCGCGCGCGAGCGCTTAACCACTAGACCACTGATCTGGCCGACATCCAACGATGTTAATGTCTAACTTCAACTAATCCACGAAATTGCGCCATCGTACACCATTGTGTTCAGTGAGCTGATATCTCACAACAGACCTGGTTGAATTCCACTGGTCACGGCTTCGCACTAGAACTCCAGGAAATGCCTCTTGAAGTCAGTCATTAGTGAGCGCATGATGAAGGAATCCCGTACTAGGACGAAACGGCCGTCCAGTGCTTCAAGGTTTTTCATGGTGGTCTAACTTCAATTGAATCATGATTTCAATTATTGAAATTACGATCAACCAACTGTAATCACTGTATGATTGTTTATAAAATAAATTAGTATACATTGGTTCTAAAATAAATTATTTGATTAGAGTCCAAAATTATACATAATATATATATTTAAAGGTAATGAACTACATTAAAGGTTACATTATTAATGCCTCATTGGAATAGAAGTGGAATGTGTAAAAAGTAGCAACGGAACTGATTTTTCTAACAGTGAACGGTTAAAACATCGGAAAAAAGATTTGGAAATGTACGGTGAAGTGTTGTGATACGTAATGTGAAGTTATTATAAAGCAGCCAACGAAATAAAACCATATCCCAGATAAAATTAAGTAGTTGGTAGAATAAAAGATTGAGCAGCTTCCTAAAGAGACCAAATCGTAGCTATGATATCTGTCGATTGTTTGTTTTAGGTGAATATGTTAGAGTTAAACAGTTAATGATTATATATGATGATAAATTAGATTGTTAGCAGTGACATATATGTATCCAACTCTTTCCATATATTCTTCTTTGTATCTTAAATTCCTCTATTTATTAACTATTTGGTCGCTGATCATTCATCTGTATTTTGATGATTCTGTTCCTAATTTGTGCTTTTTTTCAGTATTTTTTCCGGATGAGGTTAGTTTGTGATGAAAAAATGTATGTAGCACAATGTTATACGATAACCAAATATCGTTTGATATTTTGAAAAAAACTGGTTGTGCTTAAATTCATCATCATTGTTATTCTATACAAATGAGACGATGTCACTTGAGATAAAGTGAGGAAACGGTCAACAATTAATCGCTTATGTGTTAGGATTGTTAGTAGTTTTTATTAAAATCACAACACCAGCTGAATGTTTGTGACTTAAATAAGTCTTTTGTACGTCAGTCATCTGATGTGATGCTCCCTCTATCCACGGGTTTAAATAATAGCTGTGTTCCTACTTTCACTGAGACTGATGTACGAAGATATCTCCAGTCGCTTAATTCATCTCGATATTTGGGACCTGATGGTATCCCAAACATCCTTTTTAAAAAGTCGTCCTATGTTATCCGTTCACAGCTATCTTTAACAGATCCTTCTCATCTAATCTCATACCGAAAATGTGGAGAAAGATGAAGATAACTCCTGTACTCAAGAAAGCATCTGGTGATAAGAATGTAAAATTTAGACCTATTGCAATAACTTCACCCTTCCTAAAAAAAATGGACAAATTATTAATACTTCCACTTCAGCCTGCGATAAAAGAGCATATTGATCCATATCAGTTTGCTTGCAGATGCAAAAGAAGCACTTTAGATGCTGTTGCTGTTCTGCATTACAACATAGTGTTCAACTTAGAAAAGGGTTAGAAGTATGTTCGATGTGCTTTTCTGGACTATACTTCAGCTTTTGATTCTATACCAAGACAACGTTTACTTAACAAGTTAATCAGCGTCAACACTGACAGCTGGATAACCAACTGGCTATGTTCCTACCTCTCTGGAAGGGAACAGTACACTGTGTTTGGAGGAAAGTGTTCAGAGTCTCTACTGTCTCATGAAGGTGTACCACAAGGAGCTGTTCTTTCACCTCTTCTTTTCTCTTTTTTTCTGCATGATCTTCCATCTTCTACAGAAAACACTTTTTTGAAATAAGCGGATGATCTTACTGTATGTATGCCTATCTCTTCCTCTTTACATCCCATAGAAATGAATGAATTTTTGTCTCGTATTGATTGTTGATCTGTTGGTAATGGTCTCATATTTAATCCGTCTAAATGTCAAGCTGTTAACTTTAGTATGAGACATAAAAGGAATCTAAACACCATTTTGAGATCCCATAATGCTTGTACCATCGGAGACTCTTTGATAAACACAGTGTTGAAGGTCAATTATCTTGGTGTCACATTTTCCTCTGCTCTGTCTTGGTCTTCCCATGTTTTATCGTTATCAAAGAAGGTTTCCTGTCTGACCTACTATATAAAGAGATTGCATGCTCTTGAGATTACTCGTCATTTACTCTTACAATTTGTCAGTCCTTGCATATTACCTATTATTCTTTACTGTTTTCCATTATTCTTTCCCGGGTTTTTGAGAAAAGACTTTGCTGTATTGCGAAGAGTGCTGAAGGCAGTTAGCAAGATGTGTGGTGAATCTTTCGAGATCATAATTAATATAGTTGTGGATAGACATTTAAAATCATGCAAACTCCTGGCAGGTGTTATACTATCAGATACTAGCCATCCCCTTCACTTTTATCCTTCTCCTTGTATATCTTCTGGTAGAACGAGACGTAATTACATTAAAATCCATGCGAGCAAGCAAAAGTATAAAAGTTCTATAATACCTTACCTAGTAAATATACTCTGTAACGAACAGGTTGTTAGAGTTAACCTAGTCAATAACCTGCATTCTTAACATGTCCTTAATTCTAAAAGTTGTACAGTTTTTGTTTTTTTAAAAAAAACATTTCTCTTTTTTTGTATTCGTTACTGTTTTTTTTTTGTTGTTGCGTAAGTAACTTGTTGAAATAACCTGTGCTGAGAATTCTATATTGTACCAAAACTATAATATTGAATAAAGCCATTAATAATAATAAGAAGAAGAAAGATTAATTAGCGTGCTTAAATCACGTTCTGTATTTTATATATTGAGTGATACTTAAAAGTTCGAGTAATTTGGAAGATGCCGGAAGATCGAACAGAAACAATGACACAACAATGCATTATATCATTAACGCAAACAGGAAAATATAAGGTGCCGCACCAACATGGTAAGATAGACAGAAGTGAAAAATTACCAATTACATCATGAAGTTCCATTTTTACCCTTGATTAGTTATTTCTAACTTAATTATACCAGTTTGGCTAAATATTGTCATAAATAACATTTTTTGGCTGATAAATCAGTTAGTCAATGGTTATATACTCTGGAATCCATTCGGTCATCATTTGAAAGATTGGTCCTGTCAGTGCATTTGTAGTTTGGCCATTTCATACCAGAATCCCTATCAGTTACCTATGTTGTCATAATAGAAGTCTATCAATTAGTAAGGATTCGTAGACGAGTAGTAATCATCCTAAAATTTTACTGTAGGAAAGGATCTTAGTAATGTAATCGTAAAAGACAATAACACACCATAAATTTGTGTCAGATTATAAATTGAGTTGAAGTAAAGCAAACTAATGATATAGTAATTTTAATCATATTGTCTGTGATTGATCATTCAAAAGAATATTTCAATCATAACATTAGTAAATTATCGCAATTATAATCATTATGTAACAGAAACCACTTGACACTTTATTTATAATTACAAGCTATGATGGTGGAGCTGTAGTCAATAAGAGTAAAGTTTTTATTTAAACAAACGCATTTTATAGAATGCAAAAGTCATTGGCATCCTCATGCTTTCTTTATTCACCTACTAAAAAGATATTGATCGTAACAATACCAGAGAGTATAATAATACATACATAGCGTTTATTTCTATTTGTCTAACTGTTAGATTTTATTTTGTAAACAATCAATAAAACTTTGTGGACGATAATATTTTTCGCAGAAAAAAGAAGAAATACACAAGTCCTTTTACGTGTATATAATTATAGCAATGAAGACAAACAGAAATATAAGCCAGTGATAGAATTTAAAAAGTGCAAAAGAGATATCTTAGATTTTGTCCAGTAAACTTACTTTTAATGAATTGGACAAATTATTTTAAGTTGACCGTTTACACTGATTTAAGAGTTTTAGTTCAAAATGATGTATATTTCTACATACTCATTGCTTTGTGTACTCAATTTCAAAGCCACACTTTAAGCACGAGTGCTGGTGATATTAACCGATTGATCAAACCGAAGCAGGTAAAGTGGGGTTTAAATAAGCACCTTATTGGCTGAATGCCGAACACCTTGATCATTGAGCGACAGCTCCACGTATTTTCATAAGCATTTCTCTGTTCAGGAATGACAGCAATATCCGAAGTAAAGTTTCTTTCCCCAATTTTTGATGGAAATTATGTCTAGTTTTTTGTTTACAGAAAGTTGATTTTAATAGTTCTGATTAATATGAAATGGTTATTAAGCATTAATTTGAAATAAAGATATGCTTTATAGATCATTTGTCATATATATCTGGAACACTACAACATCAATTAACTAAGAGTTATAACTACTAAAATTGAGAACCTTAACCACTACATTGAAGACAGCGGTGGTAGTATGTAGCAAAATAAAACTGAGGTTGAACACAAATACATAAACACACAGAATTCCAATACTTACACAATAAACTCAGTAACAAAAAGTAATGATACGGAGGTAGATTCAGAAATGTCAAATGCCCGTGTTATTAAAATAACAGTTATAATACTTGCACTTGGAATTGCAGGCAGTGCCATCACATTGACACCAGATAAAAATCTAGATTCAGAGGAAGGCGAAACAAAATACAATTAAAAATATGACAAATATAAACCAGAACGACAAGACAAATTTCAATAAAATAGAGAGATGATTATGAATATCATATATTAAATATGACATTGTTTGTTTGAGACATACTGACCTCTTAATATTTGTCATTAAATAATATACTGAAGGAGTACATATATCTTGTGAAGGTTCATTTTTACTCGAACACTATTTGGTCAAGTTAGAGCTTATGTCAAACTGTCATTGGAATTGTCAATCTCAAGGGGTGTTTATCATAGTTTCTCACATTTTTACCCAACTTTGTCATAAGAAGAGTTTCACAGATAAAGATTTTTTCTCTTACAGTTTTAGGGAGTGGTCTGCCAGGAAGTTCACTTATGGATTTAGAAGATAAAGATGACAGTTTAGTTTATTGAAAACTGACAAATTCTGTCTTTTAATTGCACTGAGCAACAATCCAAGAGTGTTTACTATGCGTTTCTCTCATAACTGTAAAAAATTTGTTAGTGTCAACCCCTAAACTAATGGTTGCGAGTAAAATTGTTGGACGCATCCACCACTTCACTTATTTTGGAAGCTTTACTAGTCCTAGTGGTTTGATTGTCTGAAGAAATCTCGAAAATTCAGATCCATTCACTCACTAACTTCCCTTAGATCAAAATCGTTTTATACATTTTATTACTTGACCTCATTCTTTCTTCTCTATGACGTTTTTTTTTATCATTACTGGTGCTACTGCTACTATTACTACTAATTCTATAGTTTTGGAATACGTTTTGATGGTTTTATTATGCTATGCTGATGTGATGTGCCAACTGGGCATACATATAGTACGTTCATCGTTTATGGCTAACTGACTGATTGCTTTGTTGTGACTAGAAAGTTGAGACATAAACTCGCTAAAATTCTTAGGTGAGTTGAAGCGAATAACAGAAATTGGATCTTGTAAATAAGAAAGCAATTAAGTAGGGCGAGAAAAGCACCACTCAGTTGTAAATAATTGTATTGTGATGGCGAAAATACTGAATAAAATTATTAAAGCTCATCTGACAAATATAATGGTAGCCAACTAATAATTGCGTACAAGCCCAATAAGTGAATATCAAAAAAAAGAACAGATGGTTATAAAACCTTTTTATTTCGCTTGGATAGAAAATTGCGCATACAAAAGTAGGTATTTCGATAATTTAAGTACAAGGGATTCAAGGACAAATAGTTGCGTCCTCAATATCAGACTTATGCCATTTGTCATACGCAACTGATTTATTATGAAAATATTTTATATTATATTAGTGAAATTGAGGAGAGATAAAGCTTAATGTCTTGCATCACATTTTTATACGATAGAGTTTGAAGTTATCGAAAAAATTCCAGTGAATGTTATCAAGATATGAAATAATACAGTATACTGAAGTTTTGGTTAACACGGGGAAGTGGTGTACTTTTCCAAAACAATGAAGAAATAAATGACCTAAGAAACAAATTATTTAGCTGTGCGATGACTTTTTAATTTTTCGTTTAGAAAGTTATGCTCAATATATAGTGGTAGAAAATAACCAGTTTTAGTTGAATGAACTTAGTTGTTTGGTAGTATGGTGAATCTACACACTGCTACATATATTGAGTTGTTTAATTTCAACTCTAAAACCCAGGCATGATCGAACTAGATAAACAGAAATAGTGAGCTGTGACAGTTCATGTAAAAAGAGAAAAAAGGGAAGTCATGATAACAATTAGCAAAGTTGCTAAATTTCGAAAAATCAACAATTTGTTTAGAGTTTCAGTACTCTTTCAAAGAAACAAATTCGTCATCGTCCTGCTAGATAAAGTGGGAAAATTGGAAGGTATATGAACAATTTAGATGAAAAACTGAGGATATTTGACATAAATTTCACACTATTAGATAACTCATTATACTGCAAAGCAGGTTTCTACCTACGTCTAGAAAAAACTAGGAAGATGGTGTGTTTGACTTTATCAAATAGTAAAGGAGCTATGTTGAGCTAAGTATCAGGTGAATCTCGGTAATCATGGTAAAATATCAATTGACACTTTATAACTTACATTAGTTGTGTTATTTCCAAGATATTTATTCGGATATGAAGATCGAGTATGAAACATGGTGGTGAACCTTGAAAGATGGTCATTAGAGTTTTGTGCCATCGAAAGGTTACAAATACTTTTGTGTGACAGTTAGTATACACAGTAAGTAAATGGGGTTTGAGTAAGGAGACTAAATTTGTTGTAGGTGTGTATTAACTGGTAAAACTGAAACATGTATTGAGTCAATAGAGTTGATATATATCTCGACTCTTTCCATATTGCCTACAGAGAGAGAAAGAGAGCGGGATAGTGGAAGAAGTCACGATACAGCTAAGCTATGAAACTAATTCTACAATATACAAATACAAGTTTCACAACTTGTGCTTACGGATTATAGAAACCTCTTTCATTCATCCTCTGTTTCCTGATGTACATTTTTTCTAGTTTTTATCCTTTATTTAGTACTTTTCTTTGTGTTGTAACATCGAAAGAATGTGTTGCTTCATGTAATTTAACAGTGATTCAATCATTCAGTTAGTAGGTAATTAATAATAGATGTGCATTGATATTACCGAAACGTAATTGACAGTGTAGAGATTTGAAATGACCATAATTATTTTAAAATCAAAACATTTATTACTACATATTTTATATATGCAATCTTGGACTAAAAAAAACGAAGAAACATGAGACATAAAGTCGAGAGCTGCTTTTCAATCTTTATACTGAAGTTACATTCAAGGAATTTTGGAAATACAACAAACGAAATAAATCACTGTTTTATTAAAATGTAACTTTAACGATGACCGTTTGTGTGCAGCTATCATATTTATGGATGTATTTGTTCGTTTGTTTTTTATAATGAAAGTAATTTTAACAACAATAAAAGAAAAAATATTTAAACTTACCCAATTGCAATAAACTGACCAGCATTTAAACGTTGTTTAGTTAATTGGGCAACAAAACAAACAGCAGATGCAATAAATGCAGCAGATCCATTTGCATTGAAGCTTGTGAGAAATGGTGCTACAGTTCGTACTAAATCTGACTCAATTCCATAAAGATCACAAACTTGAAAAAGTTGTGGAAGAGCAATTAAACTGGAAGATATTTTTTAACGGAAAAAAGCATTATTTAAATTTATTAGAAGCGGTTACATTGATGTGTTGTACTGTAATGCATTGGAAACTGTAGGCTACAGACTTCTAGGTTTGATTATCAGATTGTTTTAATTTCATATTTGTGTTAATTCTGATTATTATCGATCAATTTCATTATTAAATTTAAGTGCATTCTATAAACCCACTGAATTGTTGGCTCATTTTTTCATTTATTTTATTCTCTTACAGGTTCTATCACATACTGCTTCTCACAATCCCCCAGCACAAAAGGTACCTTCAGGCTAAATGCAAACCTGACAAAGACCGAACGCTAAAGCACGATCTGGCAAGTTGAGTGTAGAGGATATATTCAGATGTTGATAAATTTAATTATTAAGTTTTTGATCGAGATCATGAACTGATTGGTGTTAGACCACAGTTGGAAACTTGGAAGCACTAGACGGCCGTTTCGTTTTATTTTGGGACTCCTCAGCAGTGCGCACCCACGATCCCGCCAGCGGGATTCGAACTCAGGGCCTTCAGTCTCGCGCGCGAACGCTTAACATACTGGACCACTAAGCCGGCCATCCAGTGCTTCCAGGTTTCCAACGGTGGTCTAACACCAATCGGTTCATGATATCAATCAAAAACTTAATAATCTCCAAAACCCCTATACTGGAAATTTAATCATGTCATTTAAATGAATGTTTGAGTAGACTTAGGTAAAAACTATTTAAGATGTCCGTACTCACTCATACCTGTCTCTTTGTCATTATGACGACGTTTCGTAACACGGTACTTCTATCGCTTAAATATACTGGGAGACTATTATTTGGCAACTTAAGACAAAAATACTTCATGTATGCCATTTTATGAAGTTGTGCATTAATGTCTATTCTAATGACCAGAAGTAAGGTGTCTGAGTGAACCTGTCCATTCACTTTACTGAGGAATAATAACAGTATGATAGATTAGTAACTGATGAAATACAAGTAAAAAATACTCATTCTACATTCCCCACAGTACGCTACTTATACTCCTAGTCGAATACATCAGGCACTTGGATAACAATACGTTCCGCTTTAGTATGCAATTAAAAGACAATGTGGTTTGGGATTTTAAACACAGATAAAAATCAGCCATATGAAAAAACCAGTGAATGAACGATGTAGTTAAGCCTGGAATGATAAGATAGATAAATAAAAAGTATAGTATATAGTATGAGTGTTTAAGGGCTAGTAGTCACGATTTCCATAAATGGAGTAAGAGTAAATCGATAAAAAAGAAATCAAAGGACTGAAAAAAACGATACTAACAGTAGTGAGAAAGTAAAGGAAAAGACGGGAAATGGAACTTATGGAGTTGGATAATGAAAGACAAAGTTTGTGTATTTTTATCGACTTCGGCAAATGAGACATACTTTACTTTCAAAAGCGCAGAAACAGCTAGGGTAAAGAGTTGGATGAGAGATTTAGTGTATTTTTATCAAACTATTGTACTAGCTTAAAGGTTTAACAGCTGATTTATTGAGTATAATTGTCAGATATCAAATCAATTTCCAAGAAACAAATAAAATTCATGGTTGCAAAGTGAGTGATATGTTTTAAAATCAATCACAGTGGGATTATTGTATAACTCCCTTAATCTTGCAAGCAACAAATATTTCAAAAATTTGTAGTTATTCAGTTGAACATGTATTTATAGCTCGTTTTAGAGGTCTTCTTCGCTTAATTTCTGTAGCTGGGATGATCTAACAAAAGTGAGAGAGCGAAATTGGAATTCCAAGAATTTAACTAGGTTGGTGTGTATGCACATATCCTGTCTAGGAGAGGTAGAAAACGTTAAGATCACTCCGGAGGATTATAAATGAACAGGTCGAGTACAAATCCATGTTGATTACCTGGTATTATAGGAATCCGTCTCATGTATGACGTGACTTAAAACATTCTTAATGTTTAGCTTTTCAGGTGAAATCTTAAGAATATACCATAAACTAGTCTTATAATGAAAGTTACATGTTAATGATTGAAAATTACACATGTTAAGTTTATATACAAGCTTCTATGCAACTATATAAGATATTCCACCAGACGAATCAATAAGATGTGAAGTTAATACCTAGTAAATAGTCGAGTTTCATAGAGTAACTAGTCGAGAATCTGAAGAGACTGCTTGTAACTTTAACTCCTTTGTCCTATAAAAATATAATAAATTCCAACAGATCTAAAGAAAATAACTGATCAGAATAAAAAGTCAAACAACAAACTTACGAACTGGTCGAACTGAAAGCAGTCAATATAGGCTCAGATAAATAGTAATAGAAGCGAAATAAATTTCGTCTTACTGCTATGAAAAAAAATACTGGCATGATCACAAGTACAATCATTGAAAGAAATGTAATTGACGATGCAACGAACAGAATTAAAGCGATAAAATTATCTCCGATTCTTTCCATTCGTGCGATTGCATATGCGATTAAACTAATCATGGCGATTGGGAGCAATCTAAATAACGTGTTAAGTAACAGTTTTAACTTCAAAAAGATATTAAAAATTCTTAAAGAAAACAAATCTTAATTAACAATTGAATACATCAATTGGGATTCAGTAGAATTTCTTGCACTTGATTTCGGATTTAAATAGATTTTGTGAACCATCTAGCGGTACTACTTGACTCCTTGAACAGCAGGACTGGCTTGCAACTATACAATTCAGTGGTTACAAATAGTATTTCAAATGTTTAGTCATTGCTCCATCAAGTGATTGGCAATGTACTTTTGTTAACTAAGTAGAATAATACTAATTCCAAACATTATATTCCAGTGGAGCTTTGACCAATTGACTGTGTACATATTTAAATTTTTTTGTACTACACTTAGTATTATTTTCACTAACTGACATTTAAATTAAAGATGTGTTAAAGATAAGCTATTGTTGTATGTAAGATCAATGTATATCAACAAGCTAATTCACGCTAATGGGAATTGTTACCATGGCATGCAGAATACATTTTTCCAAATTGATTTTCGAGAGCTATCTAGCCTGAATCCTGAGAGGAAAACATGAATTAGCTGAGAACTTAACAATGGATAATTACTTACATATTGTTGCTAATATAAAAAAACTACATAGATAGTTTACGGATAGGTTATATATGGGCAGTTTCATGAGATTTGGAAAAAAATTGACGACAGTAAATCCAGTATTCTGTTTGCGAATCATTTTACAAATGATTTCAAATTTCGACTAAAACTATGAATTTCTTTAGTAAAAACTGAAAAATGTTTTGTTAAAAAGTCAAATATATGGAATCAAGAGTAAAATTCTCACTTGATAATAAACTCAATAATAATAGTCATTACTTCGGAAATGCACTCAAATAATGCAATTAGTGGACGCAATTTTTCCCTTCGAGACCCAGCAACTAAACCAATAACAAGGCTAGTAGTAAACAATCCTATAAAGAAAAAAATTTGAATAAAAACAGAAAGACTTTATAGCATTACTAATAACAACAAGAAAAAAATAAGAGTAGATACAGTCAAGTAACCAATGTATTGTAAATGCATGAATTATGTGAGGTTGTTCAACATTGTTATTCACTTGAAACAATGCCTTAATGAGTAAGGGATTTTCTGTTTTACTACGTTTCTATAACGTTTTATTGAATTTGCTTCGGGTGTTGTGGACGGACACTCACGTGGGGACAACCAAGTTTTAATTAATACAAAATTACAGAATATCTTATTAAAATATGAGAATCATACACTGAATATTTTGTTGGAGATTTCCGTTATTTGTCCTTCACATTCTGTATACTTCTTCCAGTTCACAATTCCTTTCTGTTTCTATTTCTATTATCTTTAGCTCGATCTTCTTAGACTTCTGATGCCAGGTTTCCCACTTCCGACTCGTGTAACATACTACTAACGTCGACAGACATAAGTAGCATACACCACACTAGTACTTAAATGGTATGCGTAATTCATGAGTGGCTCTTCTTTGGTCGCATTCCAGTCAGTTAGTCAGCTACAATGTAGGACCAGGTATATATATGTATTGGTTCAAGTTGCCACAACTCATTAGCACAACAAGGTGAACACCAAATTTATAGAAGTACTTATTCGAATTGTAGTAATATATATAAGAAAAATTGCATATGATACAGGAAGAAAGAATTGGTTCGTAGAAATAAAAGTATAAAGTAGTTCTAATCTTACTGTTTAAGGAAAGACAAAGAGTGTATACACCTATGCCATTGTGATTGATTATGAACTATGTCACCAAGAGTCTCCAACCACTCGTTACGACAGTCGTGCGGACCCCAACCAAGTAGTCTACATCTACCGATATGGATCAGACCAGAAGTTAGTGACTTCAAGGACTGGTGCCATCGCCAACACTAATCAGCATTGCGCGTCGTGTTAATCGGTGTTCAGGCATACGTAACACGTGTCCTAACCATCTCAGTCGATGAAGATTCACAACCTCATCAACTGATTTACCGTCATTCCCTAATACACTGCGTCTAATCTCACTATTACTTACCCGGTGATCCCAGCAGATGTGAGCAATATTTCTAAGGCATCTGTGGTCAAATACTAGTAGCTTACGAGTATATTTTACAATTAATGACCACGTTTCTCAGCCGTAAAGTAGAACAGAACGAACTGCTGCGCAGTATATTCGTCCCTCAATTGATAAACGGATATCTCGCCTTCCCCATAGGTGACGTAAGTTGGTTAAAGCCAAACGAGCTTTTCGAATCCTTGCTGAGATTTTGTCAAACACCAACCCACTAGGGTTGATCAGTCTTCCAAGATAAGTGTTGTCGTTGCGTTCGACTACTTCACTCCCTATCCTTAGTTCAGGTGTTGACGCAGACCAGTCCTGAAGCAACAACTAGCATTTATAGGGAGAGAAGCGCATTCCAAACATTCTGGCTTTGTTGCTTAGTGCTACCAAAAGACTCTGCATTTTGTCAGCGTCTTCACCAAACAGGACTGTCATCTGCGTATTCTAAGTCGATAAGTGGACCTCCTGGTAGGAGATCAATACCCGAGAATTCAGTAGACGAGAATGTTATTTCCATCAGTAAGTCTATGATGAAGTTAAACAGAAATGGAGAAAGTGGACAGCCTTAACAGACACCGCTTGAGGTTGCAAAATCGGATGACAGTTCGTCATAAGCTCTGACTCAACTAGTAGTGTTTGAGTAAAGAGCCTTTACAAAGTTTACAATGACAGACACTGCCACAGAATCTCGCGGTCTACGGAGTCAAATGCTGCTTTTAAGTCAAGAAAAAACTATCATTGTCAAGTGCCGATAAGCATGCCCGCGTTCTAAGATCTGACGAATGGTGAATATGTAGTCGATACAGCCACGACCAAGTCTGAAGCCAGCAGTAGAATCCAGGACGCACCTTTTGTTCCACTTGGTACTCGCCTGATGGATATACCAACAACCAATACAAAAATGAATAAAAAACCAAGATGATGTGGGATATATACGAATAAGATGAGTTTACAACTATAAATTCATTAAAAGGTTCAGGGAAATTTTAAATATAGAACAAAAACAAAGTTTCATAATTGGTATAATTCGTTCACCGAAACAAGATCATTCGTATATAAACACCTTCAAGTAAAAACACGCTAAAGAAATTTACTAAAAAACTAAATCAGAAATAATAACCGGTGTTAAGTACTTTTTTAAACGTTGTTCATCCAAGTAGTGAAAGATTGACAAAATACTAGCATCTTACTAAAGACAAACAGAGAAAATACATCTCACCGAGGATATTTGTTTGTGCCGCATGCTCAATCACTCGTTTGTATGTTATAGTTGAAGATGAATTACCATTTGAGTTAGGAAGAGATTCAACTGGCTCGTATGTTGTAACTATCTTTAACATAAATGAAAGCAAAGAATCATAATAACAGTCAAATAAAACTGACCGAATAATAAAAAGTGGATTTTAAAAACAATTTATTTAATATCCAAATAATATAATACAGTAGATTTTAAGTAACACATGTTATGTTAGGGGTGAGGATATTACTTGCATGACAATAAAAGAACGTGGATATAGATTTGAATCTATAATCTAGTGGTTGAAATTCTAATGCCTAATTGCTTGAATCACAACCAAAATATTGTAAAAATAACAGTTACAACTTCTTCTCAAAGTAAATTTATCTAATCGACAAAAACTATAAACAAAGGTTTGTAGAAGGACCTTTACTGTAATTATGTCTATCTGAACTAGCCGATCGAGAATACTAACGGATCCAAAGATAAAGGGAAAACTGAGAAACCAGATCAAAATATCAACGAGATTTTAATTTAAATTGTTAAATTGTGGAACATGAATAGAATTTATTGTAAAGAATATTCTTTGTACATATATTAGTATTTTAATTTCGCCTTCACTACTCAATGTGAAACTCGACTGGTATATATATATATATATATATATATATATATATATTCATTAATATCTGGTACTAAGTATTATCTTGAATAATTAGACTAGACACCGTATACATGATGAGGCAAATATTCAAGTAGTATCATGTTTTGAATAGTAATAATACACATCACGTTAGTTAATTACAAAATAATATGGAAAATAATTGTCTGCATTATTGATGATAACAAAAATCTTTACAATGAGGCTTAGTAAATTATAATAACTTCTTAGTTTTGTGTAGACTGACTACTTAAACACAACGTAGAATACGTTTCGAACGGGTAGATATCTTATACACAATAAATCCAAGTTGATTATTTGTAGGGATTTTTAATTCTCACTTTTTATACTATCATGTGGGTTGACTGAACTAATATCTCGACAATGCCTGAATTTTCCAAATTAAATATACTTCGAATGGTGGGTGGAAGTTGAACTCATAACGCATGTGGTCCACTAAGCTGCTGATTCATTATGGTCACCAATGTGACAGCTAATTATAAAATGTTCACAGTAGTTGTAAGTTAATGCTAATCAAATTGCATCGTCTAAAATTGCCGTACGTACGTTTGTAACATTCGATAATAGAAATGAAAATAAAATGCTACCATAAGTTAAATGAGTACTGTGGAGGTAAAATAGAAACTTTTGGTGATAATACTACCATTATCTTACGATTTTAACTACAGTAGTCGTCCGCGCAAATATATGGTGAAATTATCCTCTAAATATTACTTTATTAATCATGCAAACTCTTTTAATTGAACATTTAAATTTTAATTTTATTATCCATTCGAATGGGATAAATAACCCTTAAATTATACACATAAGCTACAAAGGAGTTACATGGATTTTGAAAGACTTTGAAAGGAAAATATCGCACAATTTCGTTTACAAATATTTAAATAATGACATTATCATTAGTAATTGCCTACTGAAAACTTACCGAAAACAAAAACATCCTAACAATGTTATCAGGAACCATATTTCTAAAAACATTTAAGTGGAAAAAATTATTTTTATTTAAGTGGAGATCATATAGTTTACACTGAAAATGCAATCAGAATAAAAATGAACTTATTTTTAAGAATTGTTAGAATCCATAGGCTGTAATAAATGTTCACTGATAATTAAAACTATAATTTGTGCGTATGCAAATTATAATTCATGAAACAACCATGAAAATGCATATAAATGTTCCTGTGAAAGAAGGAAAGTTATGTGAAAACTTACAAAACTCCAACCAAGTCTAACTTCTAGGTAACCATTATGAACCTATTCCGAATAAGTAAAATGATCTCTTTAATGTTTTCATCATCATTTCAGTAAACTAAACGGTTTAGAGGAACTTGATTGTTTCTGCAAATCGCTGATTAGTAGTATCTCAAACCCTGATAAAGTCGCCCCTCTAAACATAAGATTCGGGTTTGTACTTCGTCAATTTTTAGGTATAGTTACTTATCTTCCTGTTCATTAATGGACCTACATATACATTATCAACTTCATATTTTGAGCAAGCTATTAAATCTTCTTTAAATTTTCTGTACCTACAAGTTTTGTGCCCCATCAGTACACATGAACTGAAGCTATTCACGAAATACGTAAGTGTCATTCATACAATCCCTATTATACAAGATGAAACGAAATGTCGTTGTAAATTAATCTTTACAAGTTATTTTACATTCTGATGGGGCGAAGCATAGATTGAAACAAATTTATTTCCGTACCTAAAAAGAAATACCAGTTGACATTACATATTCTACTCCGTGGATTTATAGATACGTTGACACAAAAAATAAGACAATCAACAGCTATTATAATTGATTTCATAAAGATTACAAATGAAAATACAAAACGCAAAATGATGTCTGTAGTAGATGAAATCTGACAGGTTGTTTTTGTTATAAAATATTCAGACTTGGAACATAGCTAAACAGGTTAAGCAGCATGAGGACTCTCTGATATTATGGGTATAAGGCTAAGTTAAATAGCCGAAGTAAAAAAACACTAAAATGACAGACAACTTTGGAATAAAATAGCCATAATCCTATTATTTATTAATACAGAAAGTCATCACTATAAGTTGTATAAAAAAACATTAAATACATGTGTTTTATTCGATATAAAATGTATTGGATGTAAGTAGTAAGATAGCCAGAGAGGGGGGAGAAACTGGTGACATCACAGTCACGGGCCTGAACAATTTCAAAACACTTCGGGAAACTGAAATCATTATGAGTAACGAAATTGTGCTTTTCACATGAGAATTCGAGGTTGCAGTCACCAAGTCAAGTACACTTGAAATGATGATATGGTGTATATTACATTACATTCAAACAATATTAATTTACGAAATAATAGGTGATATGTTAAGAAAACCACATAATAAAGTTTGGAACGTTATAACGACAATGATATTTGAAAAATTCTTATAAGGGAAGAGAGTTACAATGTATATTGAGTGAATAAACGCAGGAGATCAAAAATTCGTTCAGAAACTATGAAGTAGCTTTTTTAAAGATCACTTCTAGCTCCTGAGTAGAGTGGTTGATAAGAAGTCAATGTACAGTAGTAAGTTTCCCAGAATTATACAGTTACCAATGAAATAAGCTGTCAATGTTTTCCCACAAGGCATGTGCGTCTACAGATAGCTTGGTACCATGGATTTAGGGGTTTTCCACACGAAACCAATTACATGGAGTTTAAATGCAATGCTTAAACTGACCTGAAGAAGTCTAGAAATACGTCCGAGATTTCGACTTTCCTGGAGACTTTTGACAATCCATTCGTCTTTTCAACACTTGTAGTGAATCTACCACCTAAAATAAACGATTAGAGAAAAAATTTCATGGACCTGGGTCGATAAGTGCGGTAATACCGAGACCAAGAAAAGCCCCACAAATATTCATCAAAACACAGTATCCTAGAGCAAGTAACGCCATTTTCCCTTGCACTGAAGGCTTCAGCTTAGACGACACTACACATATTAGATGTTCGGGAATTCTACAGAACACGGAGATTACTTGACATTATATTCGTGGTTATCAGAGGGATAACAGCAAAATTTAATGATCTGATAAAAAGTTCCCCAGGTAGACCTATTATTTATTAACAGTTTACATATAAATACCTATCCACAATAAAACATGTTCTGGGACAGTAAAGAAATTTAGCATAACACCCAGGATGATCCCAACTGCAATTCCTATGAAAGTGGACAGAAGGATAAGATTGTTTTGCAGCATAGCTTTCCATCTGTAAAGAGTTGTATTTAGTGTTGAACAGAAACTATGAAAAAAGTTTGTCAAACCTCATGATTATTTTTGAAGAATTTTTTTCGGAACCTTAGATGTAGTTTGATCCTGCTGTGTTTATCCACACAAACCCCTTGTTTCCGACCGCTTATAGGTAGCGCGTCTAAACTATAACGGCCGGTAGTCTGATTGGCCCATTAGATAGTAGGTAGTCTTTTGAGCGACCTTCAACTGTAGCGCAAAAAGATGAACGCTACCTAGTCTTGGTAATCAGATCGTCCGAATCTGATACCGATGTTAATGCTGATTTTCGTTGATTTCTCTAATCGATTGGCTAACTTCATCCCTGAAAAATCGACATTTTAAGGTCAGGGTTAATTTCACTTTATCTCAGGCTATGGAATGTCCTAGTGGGGTCCCCCAGGGCTCAGTACTAGAACCTCTTCTCTTCTTGATCTACATAAGTGATCTTCCTCAGCAGGTAACGTCAGACTTATTACTTTTTGCCGACGACGTGAAACTTTGGAGAGAGATACGCAACCAAGACGATATACAGGCACTTCAGGAGGTTCTGACTCGACTTCAAAGTTGGGCAGACGATAACGAACTTACCTTTAACACTTCAAAGCGTAAAGTAGTCCATCTGCGATATGTCGAAGACTACAGTTATAACTTAGGAAACTCCTCTCTAGTAGTATCCCAAGTCGAAAAAGATTTAGGAGTCCTGGTGCCCTACGATTTAAAGTCTTACGCTAACTGTGACAAAAATCCCTTCCGAGCAAACCTTACACTGGTAACATTGAAGCGCATTTTTGGCCAGTTTGACGTAAGAACTTTCCATATAATCTTCAATAGTTTTATCCGTCCCCATTTAGAGTGCGGAAACAGTATTTCCCCCCTCACTCCAAAAGGATAAGGACACCCTGAAGCGTATCCAACGGCGAGCCACGAAATCAGTTCGAGGACTCAAATTTAAACCTTACGAAGAGCGCCTCCATTCACTTAACCTTTACCCATTAGAGTATAGACGTCTTAGAGGTGACCTTCTGATGGCTTACAGTATCCTTAACACTTCTGGACATCCTCTCAAATACCTACTTAAGCTTAGTTCCAACACTAACCTAAGAGGTAACACCCAAAAACTGGAGACACAACATAGCAGAACGGGCTGTAGACACAACTTCTACTCCTTAAGAGTTTTCAAATGTTGGAATTCGCTGCCGGTCGAGCTAGTCCAAGCGACTTCTCAGGAGTCCTTTAAGAGGCAACCTGATCTATTCTTAAGGATTAAGGGTCGTATGATTTGCCAATATCTTTTTCCTCTTTTATTGGTAATATACCTAGGTTCCTGCCTGGAGGTTTTGGTGATCCCCTGTTACTAGACACGGAAGCCTGTTAAGCGAAAGCTTTTTCAATTCCGTCCACAATCATTTGAACCATTTGAACCATCATAGATGTTAAGCGGATTTTTGTGCTTACTCAGTCGTCGTACTACGTTTCTCTCACTATTTTGTCGTTCACATTTTCTCACAACCACTACTCTTCACGGTGCCTCATGACGCAACCTAAATTCAAGCTAAAATCAACCCGCTAAGGACTTAACATCACGTTAGTCGTTAAAAATGTGTGGGCTGGGGTTATTTTATCCTTAATAACCATGTTGCCATGCAAACGGTGTCACATAATGTATAATCCCGTTCGTTTAGTGAGTAAAAGAAGCACTTAAAAAATCATTTTGCATGAGATTTTCTATGAGATTGCTTCAGCAAATAAGATTTCACTGTTAAAGGAGCATGAAAGTGTGAGTGAAATAAAATGGGTTACTCAACTCATATTTATTTGGAAGTGATTTTCACTATTCAATTTGGCTAACATGTACAAGAAAAAATATTCATAAACCAACTATAAATAGGAACCCTGTAAGAAGCAATCTGGTCATGCTTGTAATCGACCTACTTGAATAAATAGTAAGTATTGTCTTGGATGTAGTCGCCTATTATGCAGTGTGTTGTGTGAATCTGATGGAGAGAAATAAATTAGGATTTAACTGACAAGTCTTGCATATTATGCGCACTTACAAATTTAACATTTATTCATATAGCTAACAGGCTTTGCATCGTTTAGTAAGAACCATTTTGGCTTCAAAAGGTTGGGAGCTAAGTACCAACCGTGCCTGATGCTAGAATAAAAGTATTGGTAAACGTATTCAAAATCGGTCACTATCTTATTTTACGAGAGTAACATTGTGGTGCGTGCTACTTATATTGATATAAGTAGTACATAATGCGAGTCAAGAGTGTAATGTTTGGTAGCAGAAGATGGGGAAGATCAATGAAGGAAGAGCGGGAATAGAGAGCAATTAGTATGGAAATGCAATAACAATGAAGTTCGAAACAATTATTGAACATTTTGCAAATTAAGTATTATAGTATGGTTTTTCTATTTTACCAAGTAACTCTGTAATGTTGTGCTAAATATAATTCGGTTGTCCTCACCTGTGTTCTCCTTCACTACAACATGTTCTTCATTGTACTCTATGGATGGTGATTTTCTTATGTGTGTTTGACTAGGGTCAACTAACTTCACTTCCTCTCCATGTTGCGTAATAAAGGTTGCGGTTAGATAACTAAATCTGCCAAAGGACATAACGTACCGAAACAATTGGTCCTTATTTATTTGTTTCGACTTACCTTCTATGGGCGTTGATACGTTGGCCTTTGTTGAGACTTGAACACTTGTTCTTTATTGGCGTTCGTACATTGACTGTGGCAAACTAGGAGAGAAGTGTGAGATTTATACTAGTCAGAGTGAATTTTCCATTGATTACCTTCTCATTATTCGGACACCGTGTGACCGTTTTTGATGAGAGTTGTGTAACATGATTTGACAATTAACTGTTGTCGACGGTTGTTTTTGCTGTTGGAATGAATTTCGTTACCATTTACCCAGGTCGTAGCATAACGTTGGGGTGTTCTATACATAATCTCCCTACTCTATGTGTTGGCGACTTCTCTTACTCGTGAGCCCAATAGTAAAAACGATTCTCTTGACTGATGAAAAAATTTAATTACCCAAGTTAGGTGGTTAAGAGTTTTTCGATAAACTCCTATAAGGATAAAGTCATTATTGGCAAACCAGTTATTTAATTGATTATTGTATGTTGGCACTACGTTTCTTCTTTGGAAATTGGATGGTGAGAGGTTTGCGCGTTCAGATTAAGGTGTCGCGTTCTATATGTTCCACACATTATGTAACAAACCTACCACGGCCATCTCAAACTCTTCTATGTATCTACTCAAAAAGGGGTACAACAACTAGTGAGCTTGTTCTTCGAACACAATAGTTCTATTTTATGTGCACACTAACATTCTCTTGCACAGATAACTTGGGCTGATATATTTTTTCTCCGAAATAAGTACAAAATATCTACCTATATTTCTCCTTTCTTTTTGATACTGGATTTTTTCCCCCGTATATATTTTGTTAAGATATTTATTGTATACCATAAAGGGTTAAACTGAATGAGTGATGACAACCAGGAAGATAAGCACAAACTGTTACTTATAGAGATAGACAATGTTGTGACTAAGTACTCCTAACTTTTAGAAATTGATCACAGTGACTATAAGTTGTAGTTAACTCAGCCGAAGTAATATTAAATGAATCACAATGTAAGGTCTGAGGGAGTTTGATGAGAAGATATATGTTCTGTGCTCCTTTCGCGCCTGTAGGTAACCCTCGAGCTATAGGTAGGTCTTTATTTAGATCTTCGCGCAGTCACAGTCAAGCGTGGGATTATTTGTTCAGACAAACAAAGCCTCTCAACATTCTTTATAAGATAATAGGAAATAGAATGCCTATACAAAATAAGGTGGTGAGTGAATACTTGGACCCTATTGTTTTGACATATACTTAGTTGTTTGAGGTCAACTCTTAACCAGTCAACCTAAGCTATTACACTCCCTTCTTTGGTGGCTAAAGTGGTCCTATAACAAGAATGGATACAAGCCCTTCTATGATACATCCAACGCTGTTTAGATGCACGCGACAAAGACTTTTCAACCCTATACTCTGCATGTACAGGAGATGATACTGTGGTGAGAGCCACTGGTCAAATAATGCACGAAACACCATGTGCAAATAATCCACCAAAAGACGCAGTCTCAAATTCAGGCCTGGACATTTTGGTGTGGTAATAGTATGATTTCTCAGAACAAAGCTTGACCAGTTAGACCTTAATTGGACAATAAACCTGAAATCGTGACTTTTGTGTATAGAACCTAGGCACTAGGTTCGGAGTATAAAAGAAAATTCACCTGGGTTTTCCTCTTCGCTAATTTTGGTCTGTCAGTACTGTCAATGGACTTTTTAGAGGAAGGTGGCCCTCTAGTCGACACTCAGTACGACGTATACACCTAAAATCACTTCAGGTTTCACAATCATGCCATTTCCTTAAATTTAGCACGAACTTTATTAGTAGCAACTGTGAAGTCTCAGAATATACCCGTGGAAATTCCAAACTCAACCAAACGGAACCTTCAACTATCCAAAAGTAAGCTAGGAACAACTCATATACTCTTAACTAGATACTATAGTTGGCATTACCCATCTCTTTGGTAGACAGTTGGTACCTGTAAAAGCGGTTCAACGGAAAAACGAAGATGACTGGTGACCGTGTGGAGGTCAAAGGACCACCGCCGGATCGTACGACAGAATTACCCAACTCTGAGGAAAGCTTCCCTAAGGCTGAGGTCACCACAAACTTTTGAGTGTTGTAAAGGCGAAACGTCTGACATTAGGGTCAAAACGTTTCCCAATTTACCTGGCATTTGAGGCAAGAGCTTCATAAACCACCGGTTAATGGATTGAAAGCTAACGCTTATAATTGCCTCGAGTGGTCCAACACATTGGCTTCTATATCATAGTTCATCAGTGCTACACTACAAGTGGAAAGTAAGAACAATCGGAAAATCCATGGATCATCTCTATTGGAACTGAAAACAATTCAACAACGGACTATAAATTTCAGAGATTTAAGAGAAAAACAGTGAGAAAACAGGGAATTACAAATCCTACTGCCAGCCAAGCAACCTAGTTTTAAACTAAGCCAGATACCACAACTAAAACATGTGAAAATAATGCTTAATAGTCTTTATACTTTGCTCGGAACGATTTCCAGAATCCTATCCTGTAGGGGAGATTTTTACAGATTAACGGGACTCCGATTTGTGT